GCATTGGGATATCAATTCTGTCAAACGCTTTACTGAAGTCTGTATATAGAGCTTCTACTTGGTTACCTCTGTCCATTGCATTTAATACAAAGTCCACAAATTCCAAAAGGTTTGTGGTGGTTGAACGGCCTTTAAAAAATCCGTGTTGTGCACTAGTTATTCTTTGTTTTATTTGGCCAAAAATGTTTTTATTTATAATTGATTCGAAGAGTTTTGGAATGCACGAAATGATAGCAATCCCACGATAATTTCGAATATCGGATTTTTTACCTGATTTATATATGGGTATTAAGTAAGATTTTTTCCATACCTTCGGGAATATACCGGATTCAAGCGACATATTAAACAGCCAGAATAAAGGGGTTGTGAGTTCAGTTGCTAAGTTTTTCATAAAAGTAGGTGGGATTCCATCTGGTCCTGAACCTTTAGTGGCGTCCAAATCTCGTAGGCCATTCCAAATATCATGACGCGAAATGTTATTAACGCCAACAGTAGTTGAAAAGTCAGGAAAATAAGAAAAATATTCATAATCACGATCATTATCTGAAAATTTCGTGTATGTTTCTTGAAAAAAAGTGGCGAAAAGATTACATATATCATCAGAATTATTACCTTCCTTTTCATCCAATGTCATTTTTGATGGAAAACTGCACGATTTCATTTTAGTTTTGACGTAATTGAAGAAGTTTCTTGGACATGATTTAATTTCATTCTCAGTTTTTATGTTATACTCAGAAAGTGCCAAAGAAATTGCATCATTGAGTTGATCACAAATCCTTAAATACTTTTCGAGATTATCACGATTTTTATGTTTTCTGTATAATTTGTGAGCTTTTTGTTTACGATTTTTCAAGTTAATGATATGATTAGTGAACCAAACCGGATATTTGGAGGAATAATTGCGTCGTCTCCTTTTTAATGGAATTTCCTCGTGAATTACGTCAAACAGAATTTTATAAAAAACCTCCACGGCACATTCAACATTTACCTGATCCTTCAAAATGGTTTTCCAATTTAGTTTACTAGTCCTATTGAGAATCAGGTTGCTCGGGATTTTCTGAATATTTTCTCTCGGGAAAATATTTTTGATGATTCCTGGGGGACTGATTTGGACGAAGTAAGGTCTATAACTAAAAAGTTTCAAAATATGAAAGCTCCAGGTGATGATGGAATTTTCTATATCCTCATCAAAAAACTCCCAGAGAGTACCTTGTCTTTCTTGGTAAAATTATTTAACAGATGTTTCCATTTGGCATACTTTCCTGATAAATGGAAGAATGCAAAAGTTGTTCCAATTTTGAAGCCGGATAAAAATCCAGCTGAAGCTTCTAGCTACCGTCCAATAAGTTTGCTTTCTTCAATAAGTAAACTTTTTGAAAAGATAATTTTAAATAGAATGATGCTTCACATCAATACGAACTCAATTTTTGCAGATGAGCAGTTTGGATTTCGCCATGGGCATTCAACTACTCATCAACTCTTAAGAGTTACCTATTTAATTCGTTCAAACAAATCTGAAGGCCACTCAACTGGAGTTGCTCTTCTAGACATAGAAAAAGCATTCGACAGTGTTTGGCATGAAGGTTTGATTGCTAAATTGAAAAAGTTTAATTTTCCACTTTACATTATGAAATTAGTTCAAAATTATTTAACTGACAGAACTCTACAGGTAAATTATCCAAATTCCAAATCTAATCGACTACCTGTTAGAGCAGGAGTTCCTCAGGGTAGCATTCTTGGGCCTATATTGTATAACATTTTCACTTCGGACCTCCCTGATTTGCCTCAGGGTTGCCACAAATCTTTGTTCGCTGATGACACAGGCATTTCCGCTAAAGGAAGAAGTCTTCGTGTTATTTGCAGCAGACTGCAGAAAAGTTTAGATATTTTCTCTTCTTATTTACAAAAATGGAAGATTTCTCCCAACGCTTCCAAAACTCAACTTATAATATTTCCACATAAGCCTAGAGCTTCCTTTTTGAAACCTAGTAGTAGTCACATAGTCACTATGAATGGAGTTCCAATTTCCTGGTCAAACCAATTAGTGAAATATCTTGGATTAGTTCTTGACCAAAAATTAACTTTTAAAGATCACATTGAGGGCATTCAAGCCAAATGTAACAAATATATAAAAATGTTTGTATCCTCTTATAAACAGGAAATCCAAACTTTGCCTGACGAATAAACTTCTAATATTTAAACAAGTTTTTAGACCGGCCATGCTTTACGCTGTGCCAATATGGTCTTGTTGTTGCACTACCAGGAAAAAAGCACTTCAAAGGATTCAGAACAAAATTCTGAAGATGATTTTGAAGTCGCCTCCCTGGTACAGTACTACCGAAGTACATAGAATTTCGAATGTTGAGACTTTAGCACAAATTTCCAACAAAATAATTAATAATTTCCGGCAAAAATCGTTACAATCCTCAATTGCAACGATTAATTCCCTTTATAAATACTTAGATAAGATTTAGTTTTAGTTTTTTAGTTTTAGTTTTTTAGTTTTAAGCTATCAATTGTTATACTGACATGCAGGTTTAAAAACCCTGTTTAAAATACTGAATTGCCAAGACAGGAACAATGTAAAAACACTTAGATATATATCATAACAATTAAGGCTGGTAAGTTACTGTAGTAACTGGAGCACCTAGGTTAAAAATGAAATGTAATTTATTTTGAATTTGGAACAAATAAAGAGTTAAAAAAAAGGTTTCTTGAAACGAAACACAAACGCATTCCCGGACACCTACGCGCTGAAATCACTATACTGTGCTCTCGTCCGCAGTCTTCTAGAGTATGCTGTTGTTGTGTGGGCACCCTTTCACGCTATTCAAGCTAACAAAATCGAAGCCATTCAGCGAAACTTCGTAAGATACGCTTTACGTGTTCTGCCCTGGAACGATTCGGTAAATTTGCCGCCTTACGAAGAACGGTGCAGGCTGAGTGACCTGGACACGTTGGCAGCAAGGAGGAAACTACTTCAGCGACTTTTCGTGTTTGGATTGCTTAACGGTGACGTGGATTGCAACTCTCTTGTGAGCCAAATCTACATCAATACTCCTCAAAGAGTTCTACGTAGTTACACGCTTCTGTGGCAACCTACCCATCGTACCAACTATGGATTCAACGAACCGTGGACTTTGTGCTGTCGTGTGTTTAATGAAACGTTTGATGTATTTGCTTTTAACATTAGTAAGTCTACTTACAGACATAGAATTCGACACCTAGCCTAGAAAATATCTATACAACATTATGTTGAAGATTTAATTAAATAAATAAATAAATAAATAAACAGCTTAATATACATATTTGATATTTTTCATGATAAAACTCTCTGATTAGTTTCACTTTACTATTGATGATACACTACGTTTACTTTTATGGAACAATGTATTCATCAATTCCAAACCATTTTATAGCTCTTTAGAAAATGACAACCTTCAAGTTTTCGAGCACTTCGTTCACCATTTAAAAAGTGAAAGGGTCTATTATCCCTAATAAAAATGTTATGGTTAATTTGCTTAACGACGTGTTCGGAGTATCATCCAAACCATTTGTGGAATAGTTCAACCATTTAGGTTATCGTTCGCGTATGGTAATTTTTTATTAGGGATGCAATCCAATTCAACCAGTCGGAAACTGTTAAACCTGATCGAAGAATTGTTCGACCTGAGCTGAAGAATTTCTCGTGATGGATTAAAAAATCGGTGCACCGATTACAAATTTAGAACAAATTTATATATTCCACACGTTATTATCCCAAATGGTCATTACCCCGAGTCTCTTGCGAAAAGCTATTGATTATATATTTTCCTTATATATTAAAAGAAGGGAATATTACCTTCTTTTTCATACATCCAAAGAATTAATTAATTTCTCTTTTTTATATTCAAAGAAAGGAATATTCCTTTCTTTATCGTTTGTCCAAAGAATTAATTATTTCTTTTTGTTATATTTTCAAAGAAGGGAATATTCCCTTCTTTATCATATATTTAACGAATTAATTAGGTTCTCTTTTAAATATTAAAAGAAAGGAATATTCCCTTCTTTATCGTATAACCAAAGAATTTATAATTTTCTTTTCTTATATTTTCAAAGAAGGGAAAACCCCTTGATCCATTAAGGTCTCCTAAAACCTATTGACCCATTAAGAAGTTTTCCTCTTCTTTTTATATACGCGAAAGAAGATTCCAGGAGTGACTATAATAAACAAAAATAGTCAATCTGTCATTCTGGGGAATGGTTTTCTGGGGAATGTTATAGAATCAATTCCGCATGCACGGCCAATGACAACGATTCAAAATTGAGTGAAGGTCCACGCACATTAGATCCGGATCGGACGCGTTGCGGCAAAGTGACAGCTAAATCTATTGTCAAATTTACGTTAACGCAACGCAAACGGATCTAATGTGGGTGGCCCTTAAGAGTTACTCATATTTGAGTTCAGGTTACTCAAATTCACGAAAAAGTAGGTCACTCATAGAATGAATAAATTTTCCGACGATTTTCCGAGGATTCTCGAATATGAGCAAAACTGGTTGTGGTTTTAGCCTGTGTAACCTGTGTACTTTTATTTTTAATTTTCCACATATTCGAGAAGTTTTCTGCGGGAAAGTATCGGTAAATTTACTCAAACTATGAGTGACCTACGTTTAACGATTTTGAGTAATCTGAACTCAAATGTGGGTAACATTTTTTGTCCATACGCGATTGGTTTGGAAAGTATTTTTTTTCTAAATCATAAGGCATAAACTCACGCCGACCCACGCCGCCGACAGAAAATAACATATCACCCCGTCGCCGAGTATATTTTGATCGGCGCACAGCTCTAAATTGTATGAACTTTCAAAAGTTATTTTGCCTTTTATTAACGAACCGTTTGGTAGTCAAAAGTCCCCTGTCTGAGTGTACCAAGTTATCAATTTTAGAAAACACTCACCCAAAAATAAGCCGAAAACCCAAATCGCGCACAACAAAGCGTGACCCAAATTACAACCTACCTTACTCTTGATAACGGAATTCATCCTCGTGCTTGCTTCGCAACTGTAGCTCTCCGGGAAGCACTTTTTCGGCATCAAACCGTGCTTGTTGATTAGATTCACCAGCATGTCCCACTGGCCACCGTCGCACGTCGGATCCGACAGAAGGAATGCTACTAGCCGGCCATCAACCGTTTCCCCTCGTCGAGCAGTATCGACGACGTTGTTCAGGAAGTAATTGGCCCGTTCGATTTTGTCCCAGTAGAAGAGGTACGCCTGGGAAAATTCAAACTCGTCCAGGTTGTACTGCTTGATGAAGGGAATCCGGATGCAGTTCAGTGCCGCAAATAACCAGCAACGGCCGGAACTTTTCTGATTCGTCAAAGGTTTGCCCTCGTTTTCAATCTGTAAACAAAAATGCATTATTTAGGTTTTAGATAAGGGGTGGTTGCGCCTTTGTTCGTACCTTGTATGTGAATACATGCTGAGTGTTTTCCAACGCCTTCCGCGACATACACGCTTCGAATGGATCTATCCGGGTGCAGACATTTTGCGCGAGGACATTTTTCGGACACTCGTAGAAGTCGGTCCGACATTTCAGGAAAAAATCCTCTGATAGCGGCGCTGTTCGAATGAAACCAAATAGGGATAGTCATGGTTATTTATATTTAAAATAATCTACTGATTGTTTATGAAAAATAAACGCAATTGAATATTAGCTTCGCACCTCTATTACAACCGCAGCAGAGACGTGTCACCATCGAAAGGAACATGATCCTATAAACAGACAGTTACCATGCTGCGTGAGCAATAATGAACACTGCACCGAAGCTGATAGGACAATGCTAATAAAAGAAAGTGCGGCCGGAGAATGGCAATCGAAATTCAAGTTCAAGCTGGACAGAACAGAACGCATCAGTAGACAGTTGATAAGAACATCAAGAGCAGGAGCATGCTCCGAGGATCGTTAAATAATAGTTATCACCGGGGATGAGATAATGGAGGTGGTGGTCGGCAGTGAAATTCGCAACAGGAAAGGATTGGCTTTTTTTCTATTCTTGTTTACTTTCCGTCGGTCTCTGTTCCGCACATGTGCCGCGACTACTGACGTAGCGAAGAGAGGGGGGGAAGGTTTCATAGGGGCGAAAAAAAAATCACGTTTAAACAGAATTGAGAGTACATACATTTGTACGACTGAGTAATGCCAGATTTTGCTTTATATTAAATACAAGTACTGCAAAATGCGGTTGATTTTGAGTGGGGATTATAGAACCGCTGGTTAACAAGCAGCTCAAATGGAAAGGTTGCCGAAGAAAAGAGGCTGCTGACAATAGCCACACCCACTTGAGAAGTTTGTTCAGTTCTGGATAATTCTGTCGATTGGAATGAATAGAAAAGCAAGCAGCAAATAAATGTAAACAAGCAAATATACGTCATATCTTTGCGTGACGCTGAGCAAATGTTAATAGCAGCACGGTTGCTGTTTAGATTGAATTGTAATTGTATTTTATCAGCCCTCACCCTGGACGACCACTGTCATCTCATCTACACTAGGTCAGGTGAGAACCTACCGAGCCTAACCGTTCACATGCACTAGACCGTATAGCACACCGGGAGTTCACATATTTTCTCAACTGTTTCTTATCCTGTATCCATACCACTACTTCTCCTGAACCACTACATTGCTCTTCCTTCTTGGGTTATTGCGGAGGTTAAGTTCGTGTATGGATTGGGCACCATCAGACATGTCTAAACACAACACTGCACTGCGTACTGGCTTTTCTACCCACCACCAAGAGTATTGAATTTTACACTCCGCACCAGTACTCGATAGCAAACACCAAACGTAGCGACCAAAGCACCGGTGGCGGTGGCCGTGTATAATTTTCACCACCGGTGTCTGATGGTTCGGCAAACACCGGAGCCGAGTGTTTCTGGCTTATAGCGAATTCGTTTATTATCGGGGTTAACACCAGTTCCAACCCAGTGTGAAACCGAACTTTTTGTCAGTGTGAACCTCGACCTGAGCTAGGTTTTAAAAACAAACAAGCAAACTGACGTTTGTCAGAAAACAAGCAGACCCAATCTTGATACCCGATCCAGGTTGGAACTGAATAAAAAACGAATTCGCTATTAGAAAAGCACCGAAGCCGAGTGTTTTCGACTTCGGAAAACACGCCAGTTTGAACTTCGAATGACACTGGTCGCCACGGTACGTTCCCTTCTTGGTACAAGCTCTGTGTTTGCATACGCATGGAGGCGCTTGATACTTCTTTCTTTACCCTTTCTTTAATTTGCGCATCATGAAAAAGGGAAGGAAATAATGTAGGTAGGTGCAGTGACCCGTCCATATTTGCGGTGTGTGTGGTTGGGTTGTGGGAGGGGGAGAATGGGGGGTTCATAGAATATTATTGGAATCGGTCAACTGGGTCCGAGGATATGGCCGGAAAATTTTCCGGTGAATATGGGTTTTGAGTCTACAATCGGCCTAAATCGTGTTAAACTCATCATGTGACACCTCAAATAACATAAGGATTCAAAAAGAAGATCGTCCACAATCAAACTGTGCACCGTCGGACCTGTTCCGTGTACCCCAGATGATTAAGATTTGTATCTTACTAGAATAAAGCTACAGAAAAAAATTATTCGAATGATCGTTTATTTCAGATTTTAAATGATTGAAAACGCTGTAGAAATACGTTGATGTTCTTACATTACATAAAAGATAACAGTTCAATATATAAACTATTTCTTTGGCGAATAACCAACTTCTACCTTTACAAAAAGTTCTCTGTTCAACTTGACAAACAAAATGTTGGACAAGTTTTTGTCACTCAGGCGCAAACGTTTATCAGTCAATACCAACCCTAACGCACTAAATGAACGTTCAGCAGAAACCTGAGTGCAGGGAACTGCAAGCGCAACTTGTGCCAGGGAATACAGGATTGGCTCGGTTCTTTTTTGGTTCCAGTAGTATTCAATGACTGAATCTGATGACAGCATTCGAGGTCGTAGCGGCATTTCTCTTAGCTTAGTATCCACTGATTGTTTTGACTGATCCGTTGCACATTCTTTTTTTCTTAACATTGCTTCGATACGCGAGACTGGAGTTGTTGAAGACGAT